GAAAACTCGATTCAGTCGTAACAACGTGAGTGAGGAAATTCGAATAGTTTTGGCCCAGAAAGCGAAATTTAAGTATCAGACACAGATATTTTCGGTTAATAAAAATTGCATTTGAAGATACACGCCACTAGTGCTACTGAAACATCCGGAATGCCATTTATTTTGCTAAACTTTCCGCCTTAAAATGCAAATTTTTTATTCGATTCAGGAAAACTGTATGAGAATGTCTTCAACATTCACTACAAAGTCTCCATTGCAATCATTGGCAGATCGTTGTTGTGTGCAGTTGCACTTCTAAGGAGAAAACTTTTGCATTTTTCCGAATGCGAGTAAGTTGGAAACTTGCTGGTTTATACACGAGCCGGAAAACTCCCGGCTGAACCTAGCAGGATTTAAAACAAATAGAATTTGCATAAATTGTTAATGGCAACGTCTTTCCTGGGCCAAGTTTCTCGGTGCGGTTCGAGACTGTTTCGCACATGTTAAATATAGCGGACATTAACAACATTGCAGCAAAACGGGATTACGCTGGTAAACACACCAAAGTCTCATTAATTAAAAGAACCGGCTCGATAATAAATTACGAAATAAATATGGCAATTTAGAAGGCGTCGAGTGAATTATGAAACGCGACGCCATTCTCTGGGGGGAGAAATGTGTCGTCATCGCGGTGACAGAGTGATGAAGCGGACGACGTTTAATTTCGTTTAGAGACATGCAGAATTCCTTCTATTGAATCACTCAAAATGTGCATCGATTTGTCATTGCTTCCATCGAAAAGTTGCCCTCATTATAGGCCGAAGAAGTCTAGCTGAATGCATCAATGTTGCCGCTTTCCACATAGAATCTCCAGTTCGCGTCCGTTCAATTTCCATTGTTATCGGGCCACTCTGGCTAAAAATCTGGATTTTTAATTCAAAAAGTCGAACTGTTATCGTGACGCCAGAGCAGACAAGGCGTAGTTTCTAATAGAAGTTTAAAACTTAAATTAGCAATTGGGCTGCAACCGCGCTTCGAATAAATCGTCGAATTTCTTTGGCAACTCTCCATAAAGGGGTCCCGATAAGTCCCGTTGGGAATAATAAACGGCTGGACGTTTGATAAGAACCGATTCCATATTTTCGTGCCATCCACCAGAAATGATGACGGTTATTGTCGCGGTTGATGGCACACATTGGCAGCCAAAGATTTTTGCTCTCACAGTGTAAGTTGACCTAAATCGCGTTAGAGATTCGAATGTTCCAGTAATGCCAGTCCGGACTCGATGCGGATAAGAATGTGAATCATTAGGGCGCAATTTTATGCGCGTTCMACATTCAAACCTACTTGTGGTTCGAATTTTTTTCAAAATTAGGAGATTTACGAAATTTGATTTGATTTGAAATCAGTCAGAGGTGAAGTAAGCTAGTGCAAATAAGATTTTTGAAGTTGAGGTTCTAATTTGCCTTCATTTGTCTGGATGTTGTAGCAGAAAACTCGGGTGCCAATAACAGACAGCTTCCATTATTTGCAAAAATACATTWAWAAAAAWTGGATAGTGCAATCAGTTCAATCCCCATTTCTTCACGGGCAATTGTAGCAAAACAACTCCGGTTGTCATGGATACCGAGCAAATTTCCTCTGGGGACAGGCCTGTGTGCACCATACTTCGGTTCGAATATTATATCAAAYGATTTGATCAGACAAAGTGATTCAAGACTAGACGTCAGATTAAGCGAAAAATGTGGTTGAGTTTCCAACTTTATGAAAAAATCAAATGTAAACCGCAAAACATTGRAAATGGTAAAATGGTGMGCCGTTTAGGAGTTGAAGCCGGTTTTGTGCGATTTCAGSCTAAACGTGACCTCCTAGCGGGAAATGTTMAATGGCAGCGTTGTAKATAATAAAAAAASCWAYRAYTTAWTKTAKWTGCCAMTWTTTGACATAACCTCCAGTTAACCGTSAWWWTKKYGGAAACCCGATTTTKCWGAATWAAMWTKRTTYTTKGKCACAAATGATTTAATKWAGAYGAAKMTTTSTA